CGCTACCCACATGATAACCCTTTGGTCATTTCTGCTCTCCTATCAAACTACAAAATCAGGCGTGTACTTGTCGATAATGGCAATTCATCAAACATTATCTTCCTCAACGCCTTCAGACAACTCAAGGTCGGGAAAAAAATGTTGTCACCCCTACAAATCCCTTCGATCGGCTTCATTGGGGATCAGGTGACCTCCATAGGCTCTATTGACCTCCCAATCACCATCGGTGGTTATCCATGATAGTTCACCAAACTTCTTACCTTCCTTGTTGTCGACTGTCTTTCTGCTTACAATATCATACTTGGACGCACAGCTCTCAATGCCATCCAAGCTATGACGTCTACCTACCATTTGGCCATGAAGTTTCCAACTAACCAAGGGATCGGCACTATGAGAGGCGAGCAGACAATAGCCATAGAGTGTTACGTAGCCTCATTAAAAAAGGTCAAGACAAGGGAGGCTATGATCATTGAGGGCCTTAACGGTAGGGACGAAGAGAAGTTGATTCGGGGGGAACTAATGGAGGAGTTAGTTGAAGTACCCATTTCCTTCTCAGACCCACGAAAACAGCTAAAATCGACAGACAGCTGAGCCCTCAAGCTAAAGCCGACCTTATAGCTCTCCTCACTGAACACAAGGATGTCTTTGCCTGGACCCACACCGATATGCCTAGATCGACCCCTCTACTATCACTCACCACCTTAGCATCGAGCCCTAATTCTGACCGATCCTCCAAAAGCAACGCATTTTTCATCTAGAGCTCAACAACCTCATCGCTAATGAAGTGGATAAATTGTTGCAAGCCAAGTTTGTTCAAAATGTGGACTATTCGAAGTGGTTATCCAATGTGGTTTTGGTTTGCAAGCACAATGGAAAATGACGACTCTACATGGATTACTCCGACCTCAACCGCGCTTGTCCGAAGGATAGCTACCCGTTACCCCGGATAGATCTTTTAGTCGATACGACGGTGAGCTATAAAATGCTTAGCTTCATGCACGCCTTTTCGGGCTATAATCAGATCCTAATGCATGCAGCCGACCAAGAAAACACGTCTTTCGTTACAAACAGAGGAATTTACCATTACCGCATGATGCCTTTTGGGCTAAAGAACGCGAGGGCCACCTACCAGCGCTTGGTCAACGCTATGTTCAAAGACCAGATCAGCCGAAATGTTGAGGTCTACATTGATGACATGCTCGTTAAAATCAAGTGAACTTTAAATCACCTATAAGATCTACGTGAAACCTTCTAGACCTTGCGTAGGTACCAAATGAAGCTGAACCTAGAGAAATGTGCCTTTGGTGTTGGATCCGGCAAATTCTTGGGTTTTATGGTCAGCCACAGGGGAATCGAAGCCAATCTAGAGAAAATCAATGCCTTAACCGAAATGCGGTCTTCCACAACTGTCAGAGAGGTTCAACGGCTCACTGGCAGAATAAGTAGCCACTCTCAACCGTTTCATCTCAAGAGCAACTGACAAGTGCCTCCCATTCTTTAAGGTACTGAGGAAAGCTTTCATTTGGAACGCCGAATATAAAGAGGCATTCCAACAACTGAAACAGTGTATGGCCAACTCCCTTCTCCTCTCCCAAGCACTTCCAAGGAAAACTCTCTTCCTCTATTTGGTCGTTTCCCACACTGCGTTCAGTGTCGCCCTAATTAGAGAAGAAGACTCGGTCCAACGCCCGATTTACTACATCAACCACGCACTCAGGGGAGCAGAACAAAAATACTCCCTATTGGAGAAATTAGCACTCGCCCTAGTCATCGCCTTAAGGCGCCTTCGACCATACTTTCAAGCCCACTCCATAGCCGTTCTCACTTACCAACCCTTGAAGAAAGTCATGCAGCAGTTGAAATCCTCTGGGAGACTTATGTAGTGGTCAATCGAACTCAGCTAGTATGAAATCTCCTACGGACCCTGCATAGCGATCAAAGGACAAGCCATCGTGGATTTCATCCTAAAGGTCACCAATGTCGACCCTCCTAGGCCTCTTCCTCCAGTCAGCACAACTCTTGATGAAATCGACCCTCATTCCTGGACTCTAAACATTGATGGCTCATCCAGAAAAAAGGGAAGGAGGGCTGGGCTAATCCTCACCACCCCAGAAGAGGAAGATCTCAAATGTGCCCTTCGTTTCCAATTCGCAGCCAATAATAATGAGGCAGAGTACGAAGCTTTGATAGCAGGCCTTAGGTTAGCTAAAGACATTGGAGTGGATCGCATCCAAGTATTTAGGGATTCCCAACTGGTCATTGGGCTAATAAATGGAGATTTCGACACAAAGGATGAAAAAATGAAATTGTATAGGGCTATCGCCTTAACCCTCACACGTGTCTTCAATAGCTTCCACATCAAACACATCCCACGGCCAGAGAATTCCCAGGCCAACAAAATGGCTTAATTGGCCTCGACAGACATGTCAGACCTCAGTCGCGGAGTTAGAATAGACTACTTAGCACACCTAGCCATCACAAGTGATTCGCAAGAGCTCGACCTACTTGAGAACGAACATATCCCATGGGCACAAGACATTATCTAATTCCTTGAGCAAGGAACATTACCAGGAGATAAGAAGGAAACAGACAAGGTTAAAGCCCGGTCGGCCAACTACATCATCATTGAGGACATCTTATACAAGCGAGGGTTCTCACGACCATACCTCTAGTGTTTAAACACTACCTAGGCCACCTATGTTATGAGAGAAATACATGAAGGGGTTTGTGGAAACCATTTTGGGGGACGATCAATGGCTCATAAGATCCTTCGCACGGGTTACTTTTGGCCTATACTCAACCAAGATGCCATCGTATTTGTACTTAAGTACAACAAATGCCAACACTTCGCCAACACACCTCACGCTCCCCCAACAGAGCTGATCACGCTTAGCAGTCTTTATCCCTTCACCAAATGGGGAATTGACCGGGTAGGCCCCTTGTCGATCGACAAAGGCCAAGTTAAGTTCACCGTGGTCACCACTGACTACTTCACTAAGTGGGTGGAAACAGAACCCCTTGCCAAGATTACTGAGCGTAATACCACCAGAATCATTTGGCAGTCTATTGCATGTCGATTCGGGGTCTTTAGGCGATCGTCTCAGACAATGGTAAACAGCTTGACAATGCCAAATTCAGGGAATTCTGTGAAGAGCTCAACATTAAAACTTGTTTTTCCTTCCCCGGTCATCCCTAAACTAACGGCCAGGTTGAAGTCACCAACCATTCTTTGTTAAAAATCATCAAGACCAAGCTAAAAGCTGCCAAAGGTCTCTGGGCAAAAGAGTTGCCGAATATACTCTAGGCATATCGGACGACGGCACGAACCCCCATAGGGGAGACCCCCTTCTACTTAACATACGGTGCCGAAGTAGTCATTCCTATGGAGATTGGCTTGCTGACCCCTCGAGTCATGCATCGGAACCCAAAACTCAATGAAGAGCTACTAAGGGTCGACCTCGACCTCATCGAAGAAGTCCAAGAGTTAGCCGCAGTCAAATTAGCTTCCTACTAGCAACGGATGCGACAACACTATAACAGCAAAGTCCAACCTACAGTTTTTGTCGTAGGAGACCTGGTCTTAAAAGAAGCAACTTTGGCCACTAAAAACCCAGCAGAAGGCAAACGAGCAACTAAGTGGGAAGAACCTTACATCGTCAAATATAAACCATGCCAAGGTACTTACCGTTTGCAAGACACGGAGGGTAGAGATCTTCACCATCCATGGAACGTCGAACACTTGAAGCAATATTACTACTAAAATGATTCTTCGTTTGTTCCCCCATCTTATTCAATTCCAGTTACTTATTGTATTTTGTCTTTTCCAAATGCAAGCAAATGTGTAATAACCCAACCTGTAATAAACTTAATTACGCATGTGATTATGTGTTTGATATAAATTTGTATGTTTAATTATGTGAGTTCTTATATGATTATGAATTTATAACTGTTGGGTGGTAGGGAAAAAAAAATCTGTTGCAATTGGAACCTTGAACTGAAAATTTATAACCTTAGAGATGCCAGAAACCAAAACCAATTTCATATCTGTGTTTAGCATGATTTTTAGAGCCTACGGTGAAATTTGGCAAAATTACGATTTGTAATCAACTAATTGAGCTTAATTAGCTTAAACCTTAGATAAGCCAACCTTATTATGTATGTGATTTTATGTTTAATTGATTAATGAGATTTGGATTCTAATTGATTGTTATTCTAAGATAATTTGGAATTTATAAGAATTTTGGAGTTTGATTCGTATTTGATTTTGATAAAGATTTATTTTGGAATTCAAAATTGAAAGCCTAAATGGCTCAAGAGAGTATAATTGGAGAATTGAATTATTTTAATTTCGCGTATCGGACCGTATGGGAGTTTAATTAAATATTCGATTTAGATTTGTAAAATTGAGATTTGATTAATTGGGTTTGAATTGGAGTTAATTAAGTTATGAGAATTGAGAATTAAGGTTATTATGAATTAAATTTATTTATGAGATATTCAATTAATGTATTCAATTGAGTATGTAATTTATTGGCGAAGATTTTAAAGTTTAATCCGAAATTGAAGGCCTAATGATTTAGGAAGACAAAATTGAGGATGGAAATAAGTTTAATTTAATATTTTGAGCCTTTTGGGAGTTCGATTAAAAATTTGATTTAGAATGATAAATTTAAATATAATTAATTGGGCTATAATGGAAGTCAAATTAGAGTAATTAAATTATGTGGGATTTGTCATTAGTTATGATTAATTTAATTATATGCTAATCAAGATTTATTAAGGATAAGTATTATTTAATTAAATTAATCTTAATCATAAATTGAATTATAGAATGATTTAGAATTTGAGGATATGTGGGTGTGTACGTGCTGAGAAATGTGTGTGTGCACAGAGAAATCTGTGTGTGTGCATGTAAGTGTTGTGTTGGAGCTCAAAGAAATGTGCAAGTATGTGCACGTGTTGCACGAAGAGAGAGAGTGTGTATGTGTCTTGTGTTGAGCCTTTTTGTCAAAAAAAGAGGGTTTGGCTGGTGAAGGGTGCTGGAGAGCTTAGAAAGAGAGAGAACTCAAAGAGTGTAGAGAGAGAAACCCATATTTGGGTGAAAGATTGGAAGAAGGAAGAGCCATTGTAAGAGGAGCTCAAGAAATTCTACAAAATCAAAATTTTAGGTAAGGATTCTAAGTTTGATTTAAAAGATTAATCTCCCTACACCTTGAAATCAAGAGAGTTTTGAAGTTATGTTCATGAATTAAGAAAGTTTTAGGTTCAATTTCATGTAATTGAAAAGAAATTAGCAAGAAGATAATGAAATTAAATTAGATTCATGATTATGGAAATTAATTTAGACATTAATTATTTTGGGTTTGATTTTGGAATATCATGCATGAATTGAATCTAATTTCTACATGCATGGACAAATCCTATAAGTCTTAATACTCTAATTGTACATGCATCATAGATTTAAATTAAAGGAGTTTATGAACAAATGAGTTTAATTTGTAAATTAAAAGAGTTTTGATATAAATAATTTAAAATTGATCATATTTTCTTGTTTAATTAAGAGTTTGTGTGGGTTTAGACAAGTCATGTATGAACCCAAGTTTTGAGATTATATTTTGAAAGTTCAATTCATGTTTTAGAATTTGTGGGTTTGAAATAAGGTTTGATATGAAGAATATGAATTAAATTTAAATTTGAACAAATATAGAAATAAATTGTAATTTATATTTGAGAATCAAAGATTAGTTTGATTTTGAATTAAATTTCATACATGCAAATATTTTTGAAAGGGCTTTATAGCTTCAATTTATGTTTCATAAAATAAAGAAAGATGATTTTTGAAAAATGGAGAATTTGGCACCAAATCACATATGCGTACATAATTTTGTTGAATCTCATAAATTTGAGTGTCATTTCTATCATTTGAGATGAAATTAGAGTCTACATTTCACATGCATGCACAATCCATGAAAATGTAGGATTTATGTATCACGACCCAAACCCGCCCCTATAGGTTTTGCATCGTAACCGGCCATTAATCCTGCGATTACCGAAGGCCTCCGAGACAGATTAACATAATATTAGGGGCTAGCAAAAGTAAATAGCAAATATATAACGTTCATTGAGCTGTGCAGACTTGTATAAGACAGAAAAATTTTAAACTTTACATTCATTTTACACATCATCATTTATATATAAGCTAGACAAAAAGGAACTTAGCCCTATTTACAAAATAAACAAAAACTTGTTTAACCAATCAAGAAAACAAAACTTAAACTTTAATCACATAACCATAATCACTTGACATATCCAGAACCTCCACGGGAGGCACATAGGTTGGCTGACAAAACAAAGTCCAAGCAGAAGCTCTAGGCCTGGTTACACGTCTGATCACCTACATACATAAATAATATGGTGAGCTGGAGTCCAGTGAATAATAACAAAGTAAAGGGTTTTAATGAATGATGTCCATCACAGAGTCAGAAATTAAAGTTCATATCAAAAATAGATTCTTCTCAGAAATAGAGTCTTATGCATATTCAGATTTCAATCAAAACAGGTTCATATTCATATTCTTATTCAAATCATATACAGAAATCAGAGTTCATGCTTAATCATACATGGTACATCCATTAGCGTTATCATGCTTGTCAGTTCCATTAAGGAACCTCCGGTACCGAGGAAGCTTGAATCATACTTGAGCCACGGTATCATTACCCCCGGGAAAGAGCATTCCGACCACAGCATTATTATCCCCGGGTAAGGGCCATGAGACCACGGTATCTTTACCCTCCGGCAAGGGCCACAAATATATTTTAGAAATTTGGACAATCATTCATTCATACAAAACATCACATTTCAGAAAACTGATCATTTCATAGCATCAGAAAATAATTAAAGTTAAACATAACTTTACAGAATTATTACTCACTGATGGCTTCGCTAGCAGACCAGATAGTACAAACAAATCAGATAGATCAGGCAAACGATAGTGCGTGACCTACACAAACCCATAACATATACACATTGAAACACAATATTAATTCCTTGATCAAACTTAACTTCTCTTGCCTTTTGTTTAAATAATCCGAAGGTCTACTACGCTTATTTTTTCTTTATTCAAACGAATCGGGTTCTCGTTTCACATATACTTTCATTGTTAAATTATTCTTTTTTAAGTAAACCAATTTCTTACTTGACTTCTTAATCAATTATTACTAAGTCAATGACTCATTCTTTAACCAACTAATTTATGTTGATTGGTAGTTTATCAATCTTGTTGAGTCATAATTCTTGCCTAAGAACGCTTGGAAGTGAAAGAGAACGAAAATCGAAATATAAAATGACTTTTCAAAATTTTCTGAAATAGGACTTTTCGCTTGAGCGCAACATTGGTCGCTCGAGCGGACCCCTTGGTCTGCAAAAATACTGGTTGCTTGCATTCTACGCTCGAGTGACAACTTCTTTGCTCGAGCGACGGTGACGAATTCTGGGTTTTCCATAACGTTATTTAAACTTCAATACACATTACCAAGGCTCCAAATTCATGCATAACTCACTCGAATATGCAAAAAGATTCCCAATTACATATATTTGTTTAATGAAATTTAAAATTGAATCTATAAGGCCCTTTCAACAATATTTGCATGTATGAAATTTAAGTCAAAATCAAATTAAGTTTTGATTCTCAAATATAAATTATAATTTATTTCCATATTTGTCTAAATTTAAATTTTATTCGTTTCATCCATATCAAACCCAATTTCAATCTTATAAGTTCTAAAATATGAATTAAGCTTTCAAAATATAATTTCAAAACTTAAGTTTAACATAGCTTGTCTAAAATAATACAAACTCTTAAATAATTAAGAAAACTTGACCAATTTTAAACCATTGACATCAAAACTCCTTTAATATAAAATTAATCTCATTCTTCATAAACTCATACTTTTTAACCCAAAACTTAATTACAGATGTTTCAAAATATGTTCAATTTGAATAAAACTTTTAATTTGAATTACATGCATGGATTCAAAATTAAAATTAAACCAATTCCTATCTTTCATAATAAAATCAAAACATTGTCTAACTTTAGGATTAATCCCAAATTTCCATAAACTTGATTTTTATAAAATTTCTTCCTTCTTTTCTTCAAAACATGAAATTGATTATCTTAAATTCTTCAAAATTCATGATGCATGTATAAAACACTTATCAAAATCCAACCAATTCTCCATTATCAAGCTCAAACTATAATTTGACTTCTTAATTTATATCACAATCAAACTCATAAACTTTAAAATGTGAATTAAATTCTAAAATTTTGAAGATTCACAATGCATGTAAGGATAACCTTCAAATTTATAAAGGATGACAAAGATCAAACTCAAATATTAAATTACAACATCAATTTCTTAATTATCAAACCTAACTCAAATTTTCTTCATTCTTTTCTTAATTTTTTCTATTTCCATGAAATTAAACCCATTTACTTCTTGATTTTTGTTGTTAAGTAATCAATCTATAAGGATTAAGCTTGAATTTCTTACCTAAACTCTTGAATTTGATGAATCTATGATAAATTCTTGAACTCCCCTTTAATTCCACACCTTTCGTAGCTTTTCCTTCCTTATTTCTTCTTCTTCTTGAACTCCTGAGTTGGATTTCCAGCAGCTAACTCTGTCTCTCGGTTCTTCTTGCTTCCATTAATTCCTATTCAACATATTGAGTTCACCTTTTTCTTTTTGTTTTTCTTTTGTTCTCATTGATTTTAGAACTCACCAGCACACACACACCTTTGTCTCAACATCACACGTATACACACACTTGTATGACCAGAATTCTCAGCACACCCACACAGGTTTCTCTCCACACCCACACACACTCACAATTCTAGATTCTTTCTTAATTTAATTCATGAATAAGATTAGCTTAATTTAAATAACACTTAGTCTTAATAAATCTTAATTAACACATAATTAAATTAATTACAACTAATCATAAATTCCACATAATTTAATTTGTCTAATTTGACTTTTTTTAGAGCCCAATTAATTATATTAAATCTACCATTTTGAATCAAATTTTTAATCAAACTCCCAAAGGGTTCCAAATATTAAATTAAACTTATTTACATCCTCAATTTTGGTTTATTAAATCATTTAAGCCTTCAATTTCTGATCAAACTAAAAATTTCGTCAAAAAATTACATATTCAAATTAGGCACCACATAAATGAATTTAATTCATAATAATCTTAATTCCTACTTCGTATAACTTAATTAACTCCATTTCAGACCCAATTAATCAAATCTCAATTTTATAAATCTGAATCGAATATTTAATTAAACTCCCATATGACCCGATACTCGAAATTAAAATAATTCAAATCACCATTTGTACTTCCTCGAGCCATTTAGGCTTTCAATTTCTAATTCCAAGATAAATCCTCAATGGAATCATATATGAATCAATCTCCATAATTTTCGTAAATCCCAGATTAAATTAGAATAATTGGCAATTGAATTTCAAATCTCCTTAATTAATTAAGTGCTAATCATTGTGCGTGGTGGGGTTGTTACATTATGTGCATGAGTTATGAAGTTATGGAAATGAATTTGAAATTGTTTGGGCTTGTATGATGTATCCTTGGAGATTTGAGCTTCAAATCTTGTAGAATTGGCATTATATCATGTTACAAGTTATATGGTTGATATATAGGACACAATATGTAATTTGTATCATTTAAAGTTATGTTTTGAAGCATAAACAACATTCTAGAAAAATCCATAAAGCGACTTCATCGCTCGAACAGAGAAGTTGTCGCTTGAGCATAAAATGCAAGCAACCAGTATTTTTGCGAACCAAGGGGTCCACTCGAGCGACCAATGTGTCGTTTGAGTGAGGAACCCTGTTTCAGAAAAGTTTGAAAAGTTGTTTCATGTCCCGATTTATGTTCTCTTTTATTTCTAAGCACTCTTAGGCATACATTGAGCATTATAAATGAATTAAAAGAGTAAGAAAGAAGCCTAAGAGAACTAAACAAGTTAAGAACGGAATAAATTGTATTGTGACCCGCTTTCTATGTGTGTTATGAATTGTGTAGGGTCAACTACAAGGTTGAACCAGGCATCTGAACACTGTGAGTAACACTTTAGTAAAGATATGTTCATATACACTATTTTTAAATACTGCTCGTGTAAGTGTTCTGGGCTTGTGAATTTGAATTATGAATGGGCATTCTATTCGTCTGATTGTGCAAGACTATAATGAAATTGGTAAGTATGCAATCAACTGAATGGACCAAAGGTCATTTTGAATGAATATGAAATGGGCCTAAAGGCCGTTCTGTATATTTGATTACATAAACCAAAAGTCGTTTTGTAAGGATATGAAATAGGCCCAAGATGGTGAAAAATAAGAATGAAGTGGAGATTGCATCTTTATCAAAACGATTAGACAAAATAGAAGAAGTGTTAGAGAATAAGGTAAAAGCTATGCAATTTATGATATTGTGCAAATTTAGAAAAAGAAGTTAGGTGGGAAATCAAAACAGGAATCAAAGAGTAAGTCTAAGAGTTTTGTGGTTAGAAAGACAAATGGTTCTAAACAAGACGGTAGAAGCGTAGAACTGCCCCAATAGGTCCAACGTGTCATAAGCCTCATAGACAATTATGTCATCAACTTACAGGAGCGTGCTTCGAATGTGAAGCAATAGGACATCGGCTGCAAGATTGCCCAAGAGCAAAATGATGTCTCAAGTCACTTAATCAGAATGAAGGTCAATACTTAATAAAGTGATCAATAAGAATATGTTTAGTGAATGTAAAAAGTCTTGAATTAGAATGACATCTTTATAAATGTTTGAATTGATAAATCTACTTGGGCATTTGGGACCTAGTATGAGATTGTTAAGATAAATAAAATGAAATTGTTAATTTGAACATCTAAACTAATTGTGAACAAAAATGTCTATACATTAATCGACTCATGGTCCGTTTGCTCATTTTGAACCAATTGTTATACATTGAATGTATCATTGGAAATATAATTATGTAATAAATGCTGCCTTGTTATTCAGAGTCATATTATTTGGGAATGTTGTACCATGAATATGACCCAAAACCCCGATATGGACCCTAGAATGTGAATGGACCTTCTGTCTATTAAGTGAATGTTAATCATACAACTAAGTGAGTTGTCTTTGACTTCTTAGATTAAATGTTTTTCTTGTAGAACCAATGGAGTAAATGGGGCTTATTTGACCAGATGACTCATGAATTGCATGAGAACAAATATCCAAATTATTATAGTCAAAGAATTTGTGGACGAAGAATTCAAATTAGTTATCAATATTGTATCAAATACATAATCTAATTTGAGGACTCCAAGTGACTATCAGCAATGAAATGTTGTGCTTTTTTTTTTTTAACAAACGAGTTAGATCATGAACATCATTGGCACTAATCTCTTGCTATTCAGGGTATATGAATTATGAGTCACTATCTTTGAGTAACAACTCCGTAAAGCTATGTTTGATTATAAGTATTTTCTAACTAAAATAATACGACTTGTTTTATGAAATGCTATTTGAGATTACATGAATGATGGCCCAATTCCTTGAAATGTGTTTACGGTATCCTTAGCAAAGGCCCTCGCCCAAGGAAGATAATACCGTGGCTTATGGTCATGAGGCCCTCGCCCGGGGGAAACAATGTTGTGGCCTACGTATGTTATATGATACTTGATACCAGAGGTTCCATTATGGAACTTGATGACTTGATAAGCATGACCAATGTGATATGTAACGCTTAAAGAAGTACCACACATGATTTGAATATGAACATGAATACGACTCTGTTTTTATTACGAGTGCGAGCATGACTATCTTTCTTACTTGATAAAGGATTTGAAATCTGATTTCTGAATTGTTATGGACATTATTCATTAAAACTTTTACTTTGTTATTGTTCACTGGCCATCGAATCAAGGAATTGAAGTATGTGAATGTCAATGATAGAATATTTTGAATTCATTTGAAACAAGGAAGTATAGTCATGGGTATTATTTGAGATTGACCCTTGATTATATGGGAAGTATGTGAATTATTTGCAGATATGTGAATAGCTAAACAAAAATATATGAGTTTCATGAATAATGCATTTTATGTTTTGATATTATGAAGCTAACTATGAGGTCCATCGTTATATTACAGGATAATTTCTGGTGACTAAGCCAATTTGGATTATTAATCTATAAATAATGATGATGAGTTAAACATCTATGGTGAGATTTTAGTGATAAGGATGCTACTTGAAGACAAAGATTGAAGGAGACAAAACTATATAATTTGATTGCGGTACAAGCGATACAAGTTTGGAGGACCAAACTTCCTAAAGGAGGGAAGAATGTGATAACCCAACCAGCAATAAACTTAATTACACATGTGATTATGTGTTTGATATAAATTTGTATGTTTAATTATGTGAGTTCTTATATGATTATGAATTTATAACTGTTGGGTGTAGAAAAAAAAATTTGTTGCAATTGGAACCTTGAACTGAAAATTTATAGCCTTAGAGACGCCAAAAACCAAAACCGATTTCATATCTGTGTTTAGCATGATTTTTAAAGCCTATGGTGAAATTTGGCAAAATTACAATTTGTAATGAATTAATTGAGCTTAATTAGCTTAAACCTTAGATTAAGCCAACCTCATTATGTATGTGATTTTATGTTTAATTGATAAATGAGATTTGGATTCTAATTGGTTGTTATTCTAAGGTAATTTGGGATTTATGAGAATTTTGGAGTCTAATTCGTATTTGATTTTAATAAAGATTTATTTTAGAATTCGAAATTGAAAGCCTAAATGGCTCAAAATAGTATAATTGAAGAATTGGATTATTTTAATTTCGAGTATCGGACCGTATGAGAGTTTAATTAAATATTCGATTTAGATTTATAAAATTAAGATTTGATTAATTGGGTTTGAATTGGAGTTAATTAAGTTATGAGAATCGGGAATTAAGGTCATTATGAATTAAATTTATTTATGAGATATTCAATTGATATATTCAATTGAGTATGTAATTTATTGGCGAAGATTTTAAAGTTTAATCCGAAATTGAAGGCCTTAATGATTTAGGAAGCCAAAATTGAGGATGAAAATAAGTTTAATTTAATATTTTGAGCCTTTTGGGAGTTCGATTAAAATTTTGATTTAGAATGATAAATTTAAATACTATAATTAATTGGGTTATAATGGAAGTCAAATTAGAGTAATTAAATTATGTGGGATTTGTCATTAGTTATGATTAATTTAATTATATGCTAATCAAGATTTATTAAGGATAAGTATTATTTAATTAAATTAATCTTAATCATAAATTGAATTATAGAATGATTTAGAATTTGAGGATGTGTGGGTGTGTGCGTGCTGAAAAATGTGTGTGTGCACAAAGAAATCTGTGTGTGTGCATGTAAGTGTTGTGTTGGAGCTCAAAGAAATGTGCAAGTATGTGCACGTGTTACACGAAGAGAGAGTGTGTGTATATGTGTCTTGTGTTGAGCCTTTTTGTCAAAAAGAGAGGGTTTGGCTTGTGAAGGGTGCTGGAGAGCTCAGAAAGAGAGAGAACTCAAAGAGTGTAAAGAGAGAAACCCATATTTGGGTGAAAGATTGGAAGAAGGAAGAGCAATTGTAAGAGGAGCTCAAGAAATTCTACAAAATCAAAATTTTAGGTAAGGATTCTAATTTAATTTAAAAGATTAATCTCCCTACACCTTGAAATCAAGAGATTTTTGAAGTTATGTTCATGAATTAAGAAAGTTTTAGGTTCAATTTAATGTAATTGAAAAGAAATTAGCAAGAAGATGATGAAATTAAATTAGATTCATGATTATGGAAATTAATTTAGACATTAAATATTTTGGGTTTGATTTTGGAATATCATGCATGAATTGAATCTAATTTCTGCATGCATTAACAAATCCTACAAGTCTTAATACTCTAATTGTACATGCATCATAGATTTAAATTAAAGGGGTTTATGAACAAATGAGTTCAATTTGTAAATTAAAGGAGTTTTGATATAAATGATTTAAAATTGATCATATTTTCTTGATTAATTAAGAGTTTGTGTGGTTTTAAACAAGTCATGCATGAACCCAAGTTTTGAGATTATATTTTGAAACTTCAATTCATGTTTTAGAATTTGTGGGTTTGAAATAAGGTTTGATATGAAGAAGATGAATTAAATTTAAATTTGAACAAATATGGAAATAAATTATAATTTATATTTGAGAATCAAAGTTTTGTTTCATTTTGAATTAAATTTCATACATGCAAATATTTTTGAAACGGTGTAGACACCCCATTTTTGACCGTCTTCAAGACGTGGATGTCACCGTTTGAACACTCGGTGATCATCCCTGTTCGTGTTCGTCCTGAGTTCTCGGAGGTCTCGGCCACGCGCCTTGTCTCAAGACCTCTCGGCTTGTCTGTTTTGTGTTTAGTTTTGCACCAAACACTTGTGTTTTGCTTTTGAGGGGGAAGGGAATGGCTTGCTGGCCATCCCCAAACCTCACCGGCCAGGGCTTGAGGCCACCGGCCATTGTTTTGTTTCCATCGGCCAAATGTTTGGTCGGTTAGCACTTCTGTTAGGTGTATCGGCTCTTTGTGTGGTCGGCCGGCCATTTATTTGGCCGATGGACTCCTTTTCTGGCTGGTACCACCTTTTTGCCTTTTTCAGGCATTATGCATGCCAGCTGTGCCAGCTGGAGTGCACGGATTTGTCCTCCACTGTATGGAGGAATTGCACCCTTTTGGTCATAGCTTCCTCAAGAAGCTTGGACCCTTTGCTCAAGCTTCTTGTGGAAGCTTGACCCTTTGTCTTAGCTTCCTCAAGAAGTTTAGACCTTTGGGTTAGCTTCCTTGAGAAGCTTGACCCCCTTGACCCTTTTGTTTAGCTTCTCTTAGAAGCTTCAAGCCTTCATCTTGCTCTATATAAGAGGACCTTCCTCTTCCTTTGAAGAGGTTCAGCAAAACCAGAGATAATACATATATATCTGATATATAAACCACTCTCTCTCTATATCTCACTCTTTCTCCTCATTTGTGTGTGTTTGAGAGTCCAAAAGTATGTTTTGTTCTTAGTTTTGCACTATGACACATAGTATTACACCATACTTCGGTTCTTGAGGTGTTGAGAGATTGTTCTTGGAGGTTTTGGGTTGGTTTTGATCAAAAAAGGGGGCTGGACTCACTGTTCTTCAAGGGTGAGCATAGTTGCTTTATATTTCCCATTTTTGCACTAGTTTTTAACCTATCTTGCATACTGATTTAGGCTTTGTGTATAACTGAAAAAATTCTTGTATTTACATGCTTAAGATCTTTTATTAAGGTCTCTTTTGTGTTTGGGGTCAACTTCCCCCTCTTAGGCCTTGTTTGGCCCCTTTTGTGCCTTCTTTTGTTGAGCTTTGGAACCTTTTGTGTATTGGCCTTCTCACCACTGAAATCCAGTGGATTTTCAGTGGTGGTGAAGGGGTCTTGAAGTCTTGCATAGGGGAGGGACACCCCTCTCCCTTGGTCTCTCATTTGTTCATTTTTTTGGCTCACAAGGGTAGCATGCATGCATAGTTGTTTTTGGTTCCATTTTAGAGATTTTTGGATGTTATTTGGTCATATTATATCACTGTTTTTGGTCGGATTAATGGTCCATTTCATGCATTATATGCTTGCCATATAATCTCATGTTTTGGTCTAATATGTATTATGTTATGAGATGACATTCTAGCATGATTTTGGTTTGGTTCCAAGAAGGTTTTAGCATTATTTTGCCATGCTTAAGGTCTGTTGGGTACTGATTTGGCCATGCTTGCCATGATTTGTATAGCCTCCATGCATTTTGGCTTGTGAGCCTTGGGTGTGTGAGTCATAAGCATGCTTTAGTTGGGCTATTTCAGTGATTTGGAGTCACTTATTATGCCATTTCAGTTCATGTTTTATGCTTACATACTTGCATTTGTTACCCTTTCAATGCCTTGAAGAGATGTGGTCTTATACTCCATGTTTGGGGCTTCTGTGCATGCCTATGTGTTTGAGGCTTTGGGCTGCCATATCAAAGGTTTTTGGGGCTCATTTTTGCATGATGAAACTCTATTTTGCATGGAAAAATCCATGCCATGTTTGCTTGGGGTAGGTGTTGAGTAATGCTTTCTTTGTGGCCTTGAATGTCTTCTATCTCGCCCCCATTCCCTAGCATGTTTTGGCATCATCCTTTGTATGCTTTTCAGAGTTTAACATGAGTATTTAATGTCCATTTTTGTCACCTTTGAGTGTTCTTGAGAGCTGCCTTTCATGCCTTAGTCTTAGGCCCTTCGGTTGGCATGTTTATTTTGCATGATTGGCACCATTATTTTAGTATTCTTGGCCACTGTTTTGGGATGGGCTGAGGCCTTCCCATCTCGGTTTAAGTCCATCTTTGTATATAATCGCATGTTTGATGTGTTGCATTGCTTTGGTATCATGCTTGCATTGTATCATGTTTGCACATTTGCATATTGTTTAGCCAGTTGCATTTCATATCCTAGCTTGCATGATAGATTGCATGGCATTGCATCTTGCATGTTTAGCACATTGCATTTGGCATGTTCATTACCCTAGTCCCATATGGCATACTTGAGCTACTTCGCATGTTTGAGCCATGTTGCATACATGCATTACATTTTGCTTGGTTTGGGGTATCAAACCAAGCAAGAGGGTTGAGGTGTGTTCGTACTCCAAGTAATGAAACACGTCTCAACCCTCGATCACCGATGCCATTGATCTCAACATGATAGGGCATGAAGCATTCATTTGTTTTGTCGCATGCATTTACATTGATTTGCAAGCTCGGTGCCTTTGGCCATCATGCATCGAAATACGTGATTGGTGGCCCGAGGACCAAGGGCCACACTCCCTTGAGTCCATAGCATGATTGGGAGAGTGACCATGCACACATTGCTTTGAAATTTCCATGCCATGCACTGTCTGTCCTCTGCTGCTGTCAAAACAGGGTTTTGCAGGAAGGAATGGCCGACCAGCCACTTACAGCGCCGACCGGCTACCAAAGTCCAGCCGGTGGTTCAATTTTTGGCTGATGGCCACATTCTCATAACCGGTAATGCTCTATCATCGCCGGTTGCATCCCACAACACTCAGGGAGTTATTTAGAAAGGTCCTGGAAACTTTCATAATTTTCAGAGGAGTAAGGCAGTGTAAATAGAGGCAACAGTGGCATGGTACCGGGTTTTCGAGCAAGGCGAGTCAAGCATGCATCATCCACGCATTCCGAGGCAGAGCTACGGCGGTCTCTTTAGTTTCATATTTAGGCTTTTTTTTGTAATCAATTTGTTAATTAATTAGAAGTTTTGTAATAATTAATTAGCTAGGAGTTAATTCATTATTCGGCCTGTATTATTATTTCGGACCCTCCGAGTGAGGGCAATTGTGTAATAAGTGTGCGTGCGTGTGTGCGTGTCTTCCAACCCCATTTCTTTCTCCTTTTTACTTACCTGCTTTAGATGGTTAGTATTAGGGCATATTTAAATTAGCATACCTTATGCTATGCATGCGTGCATCCATACATTTGTCTTGCATGCACCGGGCTCGGCGCATCATACTAACTGCATTGTATTTCAATTCCAAGTTGAATACGTGTTAGCTGTAGCATCATCATATGTCATCTTAGAATAGCCGAGCCTATCTTAGTTGCATTTTGCATGTGTTGCATTAGCCATCTTGACATAAACTAGGATCATGCATTTGATTACTAACTAGTTTCTGTTTTGACTTTGAGTACTAGGTAAGCATTTATGCTTTAGCATCTTGCATACGTGTGAGTGTTGCCATGACAGCATGCTTACCATGAGGCTACTTGCTTATATGATATAACTGCTTGAATGCCTGTGGGTGGAGGTTGAATTACCTGAATCGGAATAATGCATTAACTGTGAGTTTTAAGCCCACTAGATAGAGGCAAAACCATCTTTTCTAAGCCCACTTGAGGGTGGCAAAACCTGCATTTTAGCCTACTTGCGAGTAGCAAGCCGTTTTTCAAAACAAACACGAAATGCTTTGTTCCAATTCAGGCGATCCAGTCTATATTTTTTTTGTGTAATTCTAGGCTAATAACCGAAATAAGAGCACATAATGTTTTCAAAACTAGATATCATGGTTAGTAGAGGCCGATCTTCGGATCGGGCGAGCGGGGGTGCTCATAGCTGACATTCCCCAATCGTACCTAAGTTCCCGAGCTGAGGCAACTTTGGTGATTACGGACACGTGGCCTTGGTTTCCTAAATTCCCCCAAAATAAAATATTTAGGTGGCGACTCTGTATCTGGCAAAGCAGTCCATGTTTGGCACTTCTTTACAAAAAAATCTGTTTTCAAAAACGATTTTCCGGATTTGGACTCTTTGGTTCAGATTTAGAACCGTGACAATTTGAGTCTGAACTATAGTGAGCCCAATATGAACAGAACGGGATTTCCCTCCCGGGACGTTCGGGGGACGTCTACAAAGGGCTTTATAGTTTCAATTTATGTTTCATAAAATAAAGAAAGATGATTTTTGTAAAATGCAGAATTTGGCACCAGATCACACATGCATACATAATTTTGTTGAATCTCATGAATTTGAGTGTCATTTCTACCATTTGAGATGAAATTAGAGTTTACATTTCACATGCATGCACAATCTATGAAAATGTAGAAATTATGTGCATGAGTTATGAAGTTATGGAAATGAATTTGAAATTGTTTGGGCTTGTATGATGAGTCCTTGGAGATTTGAGCTTCAAATCTTGTAGAATTGACATTATATCATGTTACAAGTTGTATGGTTGATATATAGAACAAAACATGTAAGTTGTATCATTTAAAGTTATGTTTTGAAGCACAAACAACATTCTAGAAAACCCATAAATTGACTTTATCACTCGAGCGGAGAAGTTGTCGCTCGAGCGTAAAATGCAAGCAACCAGTATTTTTGCAAACCAAGGGGTCCACTCGAGCGACCAATGTTGCGTTCGAGCAAGGAACCCTGTTTCAGAAAAGTTTGAAAAGCTGTTTCATGTCCCGATTTCCGTTCTCTTTTGTTTCTAAGCACTCTTAGGCATACATTGAGCATTATAAATGAATTAAAAGAGTAAGAAAGAAGCCTAAGAGAACTAAACAGTTAAGAACGGAATAAATTGTATTGTGACCCGATTTCTATGTGTGTTATGAATTGTGTAGGGTCAACTACAAGGGTGAACCAGGCATCTGAACACTGGGAGTAACACTTTAGTAAAGATATGTTCATATACGCTATTTTTGAATACTGCTCATGTATAAGTGTTATGGGCTTGTGAATTCGAACTATGAATGAGCATTCTATTCGTCTAATTGTGCAACACTATAATGAAATTGATAAGTATGAAATCACCTGAATGGACTAAAGGTCATTTTGAATGAATATGAAATAGGCCTAAAGGTCGTTCTGTATATTTGATTACATGGACCAAAAGTCGCTCTTTAAGGATATGAAATGGACCCAAGGCCGTCTGATATGTGTGTCAAGGACACGAAATAGGCCTAAGGCTGTTGAATACGAATGTGATCGTGATCATGAATATGAATATGCACATAGATACGAATATGAAAATGATGGACCTGAGATCGTTCTGTAATGTGATTGGGCGCGAGGCCGTTCTATGTCATGATTGGGCCTGAGGCCATTCTGTAATATCATTGGACAAGTATTTTGGACCCGAGGTCATTCTGTGTGAATGAATACTTTGGACCCGAGGTCGTTCTGCCCCTCTGATATGCCTTGAGCATGATGGATTGGACTTAAAATTGTTTTGAGTTAGATTTACATGTATTAAGTATAAATATGAATTACTTAATTAAGCATCTCATTCGTATAACATCTTTACTTTGGTGTTATTCACTGGACGTTAACTCACTCTTAAAATATATGTGTAGGTGGGCAATTGGAAGATTAACATTAGAGTTTGCCCCGGAGTCCACCTCTTTGTCAAGCCACCCAAGAAGTGCCTTTGTGTAGAGGCTTTGTTTTATTTTGTCAAGCTTAGGTTAATCTTTGTATTTTGTTAAAAGTCCGTCATGTAGTGTGTGAGATATAAAATATGTCTTTGTACATGTATATATGAAAGTGTGTTAAGAATATTTTAATTACTGCAGTTGATCATGTACACACAGCTCAATGGACATCATCATCATCATTTTTGTTTTGCTTCTGCTTCAGGCCTCGATAAAATTAAATATTTTGAAATATTGTCTGAGGCTGTAGGTAACCTACAGATTACTGGCTGGTTACGACGCTAAACCTATAGGGACAGGTTGGGGTCGTGACAAAATATCTAAAGCTGACCTTGGCAGCCTTTTGTATTAATGAAAAAGGCATCCTATTTTTACTATCTGTGTTCATATTTTGCAAGTCCTAAGCCCTCAAAGCCTCAGACAGACTGAGAATGAAGAGCCCAACCAAACTGAGCCCTCGTAGCCTCAGCCAGACTGAGCATGAAGAGCCTCAGTCAGACTGAGCCCTCAAAGCCATAGCTAGACTGAGTATGAAGAGCCTCAGCCAAACAGAGCCTTCAAAGCCTCAGCCAGACTGAACATGAAGAGCTTAGCTAGACTGAACTCTCAAACCCTCAGCCAAACTGAGCATGCAAAGCCTCAACCAGACTGAGCCCTCAAGGCCTCAATTAGACTGAGCATGCAGACCCTCAGCCAGACTGAGCCCAAAAATTGGCCTAAGTACTGGCCTAAATATTGCCCTAAATACTGGTCGTTTTTGGTTCAATTCCTCTTCCACTGTCAGTGGATTCTTATGAAGGTTCTTCAATCATAATGTCGGCTCTCCAGTTATTATTTTAAATAGCCTCATTATGCTAGATTAGTCTACTTAAGGGACAATCAAATGTTTAAATTTTTCACAAATTGCAACTTCAACAAAAATTGAAAAACACACTTCTTTATTATCACCTTACAAATTATAATTTTCATACATTTTTACAAAGACAAATTAAAAAAAAACAAACCAAATAACACAACACTACACTCCCAATGGCTCAGCTCGCATCCCCTCCATCTCCTTCTTCTTCGCTAGACACCAAGTCTTCTTCATCAATGTCCTCGTCCAGCGGAGTGCTGGCGATGTCTCCATCTCTTGGCTTCACAAGGTTGAAGTCAATGCCTGGGAAGGTCTTTTCTGTCTTTTTCTTCAAACTCGCCCACCAGCTATCCCAGTACCCCCTCAACAGATGCTGGTAATAGTCTGACTGTTAGAAGTTCTGGATTATTTATGACTTCATTTGCCCTTCCACCAATTCGGTAGCACCTATATTTGATGGCCCTGCCTCCCCCTCCCTTGCTATGTTCCTAGTCACAACAGCGTCCACTATTATTTGGTACTCAGTTTATTGCTTGAACTACTTCACTGCCGCACGATAGAGGTCGGGGTAAGCTGCCCTCTCAGAAGCCATGATTCTGGCTAGCACTGCAACTTCGCCCTTCTCCTCCTCTACAGCTCTCCTTTCTGCACTAAGCGCCCATTCTAACTCCACAACTAGTGCGTCAACCTCATCCTTCTCTTTTAGTGTTGCCTCACGTAACTCTTCATTATTAGTTAGGGCCTCCTGCAGTCTACCCTTGGCAGTGGTGCAAGCCTATTCCACTTCCTTACCCTTCTTCTGTTTAGAAGCCACTTTGAACTCCAACGACACTACCTTATGGCGCACAACTTCTAATTCAATTTTAACCTGGCACAGTTCAACTCTCACGCTTGCTAACTCAGCAGCCACTTCCGTTTTATCCACTATGGCTCACTCAGCTATGAACCCTTGCACCACTGCCAGCACTTTCATCTTTTTGGCTCGCTCAGCATACATAAGGTCTTTAGCACAGGCACTTTATGCCACTTTCTGCCACTGCCCATTCTCTACTCTAGCTCTCTCTAACTGCGCCTTCAAGGGCTCTACCTTCATTCTTATGCTCAACCCCTTGACTAGAAGAGCGGCTGCCAGTGTTAGGGACTACATTTACGATGAGCAGAAGGCCCTCATAAGCTCAATCTCCCAGAACCTGGAGACATCCCTTACAACGGCATCTTTTATGGTTCCCAACAGGCGCTCTGCTGTCGCTCGCATAGTCCGTGTCATTTTGGCCGACTCCCCCCTTTGGCCAATGACCGACCGACCACTACACTTAGGTGGCGAACAGTAGTGCCCATTGTCCCCACAGTTGGACTTACTCTAGGAACACCTTCCTATGCTAGAGAGGGGTGCCTCATTTCCACCTCCTACTCTGCCACCTCATCTTCCTCTGTTGTGGGGGCGGCCACTATTGGCTCCATTCTACCCACCTCTACTTCTTGTTCTAGGGGGCGATCAATAGTCTGCTCCACTTTATTTTCCTTCAGGTCTACCATCTCTACAACTGAATGGTTTACCTTTTCTCTTTCAATTGCCATCCCAGGCCTTGTCACTCCCACCTCCTCCACTGTTGATCCCACCCCCTTACCCCTTTTTGATTTCCTCTCCTCCCTACCCTCTTTTGGTGGTCCCATTTTCTTCAAGACTTGTTTCACCTCTGCCTTGCTCCTCTCTTTGATAGGGTCCATAAGCACTTTCAGCGGTACTAATGCCTCTCAATTCCATTCCACGAAGCCTTTGGGAATGGCTGAATAAACCTCTTTACGAGCGGCTTAGGAGCGGGGCCCAACTCCTTCTCCTTGTACTTCTTTGCCACTGCCAACACCCCGTTAGTCTTCCGCCTCTTAGGCCTTCCTCATTGCCTTCACCTTTTCAGGTCCCAATTTCAAGGCAAACAAGGCCGAAGGCTTGAACAGGTCATCCGATCTGACCCCTTCTTTCTCTCTATACTCCTTCACTTGCCTCACCCTTCTTTCAATCGCCACATCTAACTTTGGCTCCAATGACTTGGCGAGAGTCTTCCAGATCATACGGACTCAGCTCCTTACCATTCGCCGATATGAAAAACCATTTTGTTCGCCAGCCCTTAACGGACGAGGGCAGCCCCGCTACCAACCCTTTTCCCGTCACTGCTTGCAGGGTCACCCATGTCTCTTGTTGGCCTAAAGCTTTGTAGCACGAGAAAAACTCATCCACAAACATCACTTCCTCATCGGTCGCCCACGACCACGAGATCGCACACACGAACAGGATCTTCCATGCGTTCGGTATTAATTGGCCTGAAGCCACCTCTAATCGATTTAACACGTCGATGGCTAGTTGTGGAAGTGGCAATCTCAGACCCCCATGGAGTGCTTCTTCATACAGCGCGAACTCCATCGGTCTCGCATTAGACGCCCTCTCCATTGCTATTGGAAGTCTCAACCCCATGTCCGCTGAAACTTGATATTTACTGCGTACTTCCTCTAAATCCTCAACCGTTAAAGTAGACTTGTCTGCCTTGTTATGCCAATGGTCAAGCGCCACTTGGCTAATTGGCTTGATGGCCAAGATCATCGTCGACGGAATGAGTCAGGACGGTCGCTCCCCCTCCTCTCCTCTAACCTTTCTACTATGTATTTCTCACCCATGGCCACTCTATCGTCCTCTCCCAACACATCGGATGCCATGGTAGGAGCTTTGTCTTGCGCCATTTCCCTCACATTCCTATAGACAGCTTCGGTTGTAGGGGCAAGGAAGTTAGCAAAGTAAAAGATAAGGGAATCGGGTGCGAGGAATGAGGTGAAATTTGGAATAAATTGATTTTTCCCAATCAGGTATGCAAATTGCACAAGTCCAAACGCCCAAGGCTTTCTTGTATTCCAAGGGTCACGGTCGAAATTTGCTAGTTTGAAAACAATTTTGCCAAGTGTGGAGGAAATGCAAAAAACAAATACCAAAAATCATACGACATATCCAGCCTTTTCACCTCCAACAAACGATTCAAAATCCCTATCAACAACCCAGGCTGTGCCACATGGACGGCCTCGATTACTTCTCCCACCACTAACTCTTTCTTTTCCTTCACGTCTGTCCCCCGTTATATCATCACGCGCCTTCTTGCACATCGAGCCCCATGTACCATCAATGCCATAAGAGCCAACTCACCCCATCCATAGTCAGCCACCTAGGCGGTCAGCCACCCTCACGGTCGGCTACCTAGTTGATCGGCCACCCGCACGGTCAATCGCCTGTCGATCGGCCATATCCACAGTCAACCACCTCCACGGTCGATCACCCTTACGGTCGGCCAACTGGTCGATTGGCCACCTTTACGGTTGGTCGGCCACCTCCACGGTCGGTTATCTAGTCGGTTGGCCACCTTCACGATTGATCACCCCGCTGGACGAGGTGTCCCTCTGCCGGTCAGCTGCCCAGACGACCTTCCACCTTCGGCCGTCCTCATCTAATTTTAAGATTAACTCCAAATTTTCATAAACTTGATTTTCATAAAAAATTCTTCATTCTTCTCTTCAAAATATGAAATTGCATGGCTCAATTCCTAAACACTTCATTGTGCACGTAATTTATAAGGCTTAATTTAACTATAACTTTCAAAATCAAACTCAAAATTGATGAAACTACAAATTATATTCCATGAACATGCTTGTAGCTCAATTTCTTACTCAAAACCCAATTTCTTACAAATTCTATAAAGTAATCTTAAACTCTTCTTAATTTCAAGTATAAGATAAAGATTCTATATAAATTGAGCATAAATTTTCTTACCTTAAGTTTTAATTTCAGAAATTATAGTTGATTTCCCTTTGGCCTTCTCATTCTCTTTCAATTTCTTGAGTTTCCCTTGATTTCTCTATTTCTTCAATCCTTTGGGTTTCTCATTCCCTCTCTCTAGACTCTCAAAGTTTTCTAGCACAACAAATGAATGATCCAATACTCTTAAATTCATCAGATATACATCCACATGCACCTCAATTCTTGACAATAGAACACGTGTACACACTTACACCTTCTAAACAATTCTATAATTTGAATCATAAATGGAATTAACTTAATACATAATTACCCAATAGTTTAATTAATCGTCTCTAAATTTTAATTAGTTATGTATAATTCTCATGCTAATTAACTCAATTAATCATATCTAATCACAAATTCTACATAATTTAAGCATCTAATTTGACTTCTATTAAGGCCCAATTAATTATATTTAAAATTTATCAATCTGAATCAGCTTTT